CTTGCTGGAAACTTTATTCCCTGTGAAATGATGAAATATCTCAGCGGAAATGAAGGATGAGAAGGGGGTGGGGTGAGGATGGCTGTTTGCTAAGACCCAGTCATAAAACAACAACAAAGAGCAGTTATAAATATCCAAGCAGGTATCTTGCCCTTTCGCCTAGCTATAAATCTGTGCCTTGGGCTTCCCCCTCTGGGAGGATGGGATTAGATGGCTGGTAATAAGCCTTGGCTGCACAATCCTGCTGTGTTTTCCAAGCAGAGCGGCTGAGTAGAGAGTACCCTGTAGTACATATGAATGGGATGCTTCAGCCTTCACTGCTCTCCTTCCTGTTCACATACCTGGCAAGGACAAATGGAGGTCAGGCTATGTCTTCTCCAAGACCGGCTTCACATTGGCAGTGTGGGCAGGATGGGTGAGAGCCATCCCAGGGGATGTATTTCCTGCCTCATCAATGGATTATTTGATGTGCTACCTCTCGTTATCGGTTCCAAAATAAGTGTGTAAACAAAACTGAGCCCCTGAAATAGTACTTGGTTATTTTCTGCTTTGAGACTGGGATTTTTTTTAAAGTCATCTAGACTAGGAAGAGATTTCAATGAACAACCAGGTCTGCCCTAGGTAAGCACTCCTTATTTATTCTTTCTCACATTTAATAACCTTCGAAGGAGATCTCTCCTGCCCTGTTTTGTGTATCATACTACCTATAACAGCAATGTTAGAAAACAGGAATAAATCTGTCATCTACAAAAATATCTATCTCTAGTGCTACTCAGACGTAATAGAAAACCATGACTTCCCACTATTTGAAGGAGCAACTGCAAGTCTTGGACTCATGCATATCCCTCCCACATCTATTTCTATGCAAGATTATTACAGTTCAGCATTATAAAATGACACAATAAATGTATGTTTTATATCTTCTTATGTTTTTAATTTTATTTCTGAATATTTGTTATTATCATAACACTCATACAGAATAGATCTTATCCCTACCAATTGCAAAATAGAATATTTAATCCAATAATCACAATAACAATAATCACAATAACAACTTTATTTATAGGCTGCCCTATCTCCCCAGGGGGACGCATGGGGGCTACCAGACAAAAAGGCAAGCATTCAATGCCATAATAATAATAATAATAATAATAATAATAATAATAATAATAACTTTATTTTTATATCCTGCTGCCATCTCCCCAAATAAAACACACTACCATTAAAAAGTATAAAACATATTGCATCGAAGCCCCGTCAGATCAGGTGTAACAAAAACCAAAGAGCAAGATAACAAAAATGAGCATAACGAAACTTAAAATGTGCTGGGCAAGGGATAGGGCAAATAGTGTAAATAGGGCCAGGGAAGTGTATGAGATATAGAACAGAGTACTATCTGGCAACTTAGGGACTGGGCCTATATCACTAGGGACTAGTCATTCTCGAATGCTCCCTGGAACATCCAGGTTTTCAGAGGACAGTGTGGGGGCTTGACTAATCTCCCTGGGGGTGTTCCAAAGGGGGGGGGGCACCACCGAAAAAGCCCTCTCCCTCGTCCCCACCAACCATGATTGTGATGCTGGTGGAAGTGAGAGGAGAGCCTTCCCAGCAGATCTTAGAGCCCATGCTGGGTCATAGGGGGAGATGCAGTCACACAGATAGTGGGGCCTGAACCATTTGGGGCTCTGTAGGTCAAAACCTGCACCCTGAATTGGGACCAGCAACCTACTGGCAACCAGTGAAGCTGCTTTAATAGGGGCATCATACAATCCCTATTAAAAGCTTGGTGATAGACAAACACATAAGCCAAAACAGTGCAATGTAGCATCATTATAAAACTCATAAATTACTAAACAAATATGAAGCTCCATAAAGACCACCAATACCAAAATGCTTAATACGAATAAAATAATTTAAAATTATTTATAGCAGGCTGCAGGGTCAAGATAAAACAAGACAGTAACAACTATCACTGAGTTCTGGAAAATCCTGGGCATTTGTTTCAACTAAAATGCATAAAATCAGTCTATTTTTACGTCTTACATATTAATTCATAAGTCCATTCAACTTCTTTCCTCCCTCCCTCTCTTTGTAAAATTCTGTTCAAAAATGCATGTATTTTATGGACATTTTATTACAAAGCACGCATGCACACGCACATAAGATGTTCACAGAAAGCCAAGAGGATTTCATATCCAAAGTAGCAGTAGCTTCCATTTGAAGAGATCTACATTGCAGCTGGCTCTCCACATTTGTAGGTTTGACTTTTACAGATTGGATTATTCTGAGATTTTGATTTAGAATATTATCTATAGGAATCCCTAGGTCCTCCAGTGTGACTCTATGGTCATCTTTCAGTGGATGTTAACCACTGTGGACCTCGAAATTCCTAGAGAGGTGTTTTCTCAGGTTAAAAAATAGCCATGTCTGAATTTGTGTTTTTTCACTTTCAGTCAATGTGGAGAGCTGGATGTAGTTTCCCTTCTACCCTTTGCATGAAATAAAGATCTGGCACAATGTTACATGGCAAGAAAAGAAGAGGTGGCTCAAAGACAAGGCATACAAAAGGAGATGCAAGAATTACAATTGAGAATTCTTCTTGGGGAAAGAAAAAGCTAATCATTATTCCAGATGGGCAAAAACTAAAGATGAGGCTTGGCTCATATTCAGTATTACGCTTTTAGGCTGTGCTCTTAAGCGCAATACTTGGAAGGTCAACTCAAATCAGTGAGAATTATTTCCAAGTTTATTTGCTTAGAATCCAGGCGCCAGTGCTTCTGGACCACAGTCCTCCATACATAGCATAAAATAACTGCACAAAGTGGATGATTTGATTGTAAAGATACTTATTGCCTCAGATGAGGATATATTTGTAGATTATGTTTATGATAATAAGAAGGATGGAAGGAACATTTGGGATGAGAGGAGGTTGGTCTGGAAGGTCCACGAGGTCTTTTCCAACTCTATGATTCTATTACATGAAACATTAAATCAAAGAGGGCTTCCAAACAATAACTGGTGGGGTCTAGATGGACTTGACAAACTCTAGTTTCCAATAAGATACTGCAACATGAAAAATGGGCATAAAATACCCACTGGAAAACTCAGTTAATGGATTCAAGTCTGAACTTTAAAAAATGAAATAAATGTTTAAAATAATAAATTGCTTGATTATGTTCTATATTAGAAATCTTAAATTAATCAATTGTCAAACTTCATAAACATCTGAAACCAGCCAGGTTTCCCACTCTCTCTGCTTTCCCACCCCAATATATTATTATTCCAAAATAGAGACAAATAAGATAGACCAGGCTTACTTCCACTCTGGGCAAATGATGCCAAGCAGATAATTGGACAATGAACATGGAAGGCCAACTGTATATGCAATGAAGTATGTGCTGTTGGGTGGATTTCTTGCACATGGCTATTAGAAAAATCATGTTTTCCCCTCCCCTCACAAAGGAAATGTGCCAACTGTCTAAAACTATTCAAAAGAAAGAAAGGAAATAGTCTGAGGAATTGTGTAGAGCAGGGAAGCAAATGTCATTGAGAGAACCAAAAGAATAAGGTACTCAAGGGTCACCACAGGAACTCCTAGAGCCCATATCTTGTGGGGAGGGGAGGTGTGAGAGACACACTTCCAATACCTAAAGCAGCCATATCCTGGTTCTCTCCAAACTACAACAGCCTGTTATTTATCCTTTTTTTTCACCATGATCTCATCTTCTGTGCAGTATTGTAAATTTAGTCCAGAGGGACAGGGCAAGCAAATTGGAGTCAGCAACACTGATGAGGAGAACAATTGAATACTATGGCAAGAGAGTTACACTTCTCTGAGACAGAGCTTGGAAACATTACTTTTTGGAGTATATTTTCCAAATTCCCTGAGCCATACATGGCATGCTAGCCAAAAGATTCTGGGAGTTGGAGTCCAAAAAAGGAAATTAGCCAAATTCTGTTTTCGGAGCATCTTGTCCATGTTCCCTCTAAACCTAGAGACAACACAGACATTTTTCTGAAGTGTATATATGCATCTGTATTAGGAGCATTCTGCTTTATTACCAAAAACCTCTCTGGGTCTCCAAGTTTGTTTGTTTGTCCCCCCCCCCCCCGTCCCCCCCAAATGCCATTATTTTTGTATGAATGATCAGCAACCAGAGCATCTTAGGAAAAAGAACACCTTGCTAAATTTAATGGATCAGAAATGATCCCCAATCTTTCCATAACGAAATGTTCCAGAACAAGTGCATAGATGCAACGGGTTCCCTCTAACTTACCTGATACACACCCTTGGTCATGTGAATTTTTTTTTTTGGTTTTTTTTGGGGGGGGGGTTGCTAAACAATCTCTTATTGTGGGAAAATACCACTGAAAACCTCTCTTTCCAGATGGCTCTTGGGAAACAACAAATAACTTATTATGGTTTTATGGATTCAGTTTCCAATTCAAATGGTGAATGCAAGTAGAAAATTGCCTTTTGATTATCAATTGCAGCTGTATGGGGTTTTTTTTTAATTAAAAAATGTGATGTGTGTGTCTGTCTTCAAGTCGCCTGTCAACTTATTCATAAGGTTTCCTTAGGCAAGGAATACTCAAGAGGTAATTGTATCAATTCCTTCCTCTCAAATTTATTCTCCAAAACATGGTACTTGGTGGTGGTTTCCCATTCAAGTACTAACCAAGACTGACCCTGTTTAGTTTCCAAAATCAGATGTACTTTTGATTTTTTAAAGTTCCCTTCCATCATCTCTGTACAGTGGATTTTGTAGGGCTAGAGGCAATGAGATTTTTTATTATCTTGACTACAAGCAGTAACTGGGATTGATTACGTTCAAATGACAAAATACTACTTCCCAAAAATTAGAAATGTTCCTGTTACATAGCGGAAAAGCTTTTAAAATACCTCTTCCTATTCCACATCAAGAAATGGTACACACCCATGTGCATATCCCCACAGACAAAAATATTTTTAACCAAGTCTTCACTAAACGCTCACCTACCTATGCATGTCTTCCCATCAGAGTGTAGCACAAACTTCACATGGCAACCACACTTTGGCCCTTGGTCTGTATCATCACAAGTGTGCTGGCACCCTCCATTACCGTAGTTGCAAGTTACTGTAAGGGGCATAAAAACAGTCAAACAGTAAGTGGCAGCCCCAAATAGAATAATCACAAAGTCAGTTCCACAGACATGGCATCCAAGCAGTTTAGACAATGGAAATGAGAAAAAGGAGAAAACTTAAAGGTTTATGCTCTCAGAATGGGATGCCCTGATAGCCAGGCCTGTAGCGAGGGGGGGGGGGGTAGGGGTTCAACCCCCCCCCCCCCCCCCCAAAATTTTCAGGTTAAAAAAAAAACCTGGTTTACTCATGAATTTTAACTGGTTAACCAAATCCCCATGCTAAGTCTATGAGACGCAAAAAATTAAGAGTCCCTCCAGAACTGCAAGCACTATCTCAAGCAAATATTGACAATTTATTCACACTGTCATTACTTGCAGCAATAGCCAATGTAGCGAAGCAACCAAGTTGGGGGGGGGGTGTTGAATGCTCTCATTAAGGAGGCCAGACTGGGTGGAGGTGGTTAACAGGGGCGGAGCTCTTTGCGTGAGCTAAGAGGCAGGTTTCAACTCCCCCCCCCCCAAATTTTCAACCCTCCCCCCCAAAAAAATTCTGGCTACAGCCCTGCTGATAGCTACTTACATTTGCAATCACGTTGATTCTTTGTGAGTTCAAAGCCAGGTCGGCATTCACAGGCAATACCACCTTTTGGGGTTTCCCGGCAGATGTGAGCACAACCATGGTTCTTGTTCATGCAGTTCATTCCTTCTAAAAGAGAAAAGAAACAACATAAAAGATACCCATAAAACACTAAAATGAGCAAAGAAGATATAGATTAGTGGCCAATCGGAAAATTACATCTTAAATTCTAATGCGTAATCTACCCTGCATAGGGGCCACACTCTCCCTGAAGGAGCTCATGCAAAACTTGGTGGTATCCTTGGACCTGTCTCTATTAATAAAGGCCCAGTTAAAGTCCCTGGTCAGAAGCTTGGGGACAAATCCAACTGGCCTAGCAACTAGAGTGTTTCCTGAACAGGCATGGTATTTAAGTGCTGGAAATTGCTTGGTTAGATTACTGAAATCTATATGAAGCTGTCCTTGAAGACAATGTGGAAGCTATAGCTAGTGCCAAATGCAGTAGATGGAAAGCTGACTAGAACATCTTATGGAAACTATAGTGCCACTTTGAAAGAAAATCCAGAAATGTAACTCTAGGCACTTTCATCTAAATACATGATGTTTGAGGTGTAATTTCATGTCTTAAGAAGCTTATGACCTCTGTATCTGAAGGAGTGCCTTTCCCTATAAACACTGTTAGAAGACTGTGGATGACTAGAAGAGTCTTTGTGTCCCACCAGTTGCAGCGATTCAATGTGAAGGTGTGGAAAAGTGCTTTATAGTGGGGTCCTAGTTGTGGAGATCCAAATTACACTGATGCTGGCTTTTTTCTGACAACAAATCAGAACATGGCTTTTTATCAATGCCTCTACAGTCTGTTTAGGCTGTTTAAATTACTCATAATTGTTTCAAATCTAAATTGTTTGAAATTAAAGTTACCTGTATTTCATCCTGAAACCTATGATATAGAGCACAATGTAAGTATTTTAACAGCAGGCAGAATAATATTTATTTATTTATATATCGCCCTATCGACCTGGAGGGACTCTGATTCCAAACATAAAAATCAGACATTCAATGCCTGAACATAATAACAATACACCCACAATAACGAAAATTGACAACCTAACATATAAAAACAAAGTATGACCTAACAATTAAAATTAAATGACAAATGCAAACTGTTAATATAAGACATGAAAGAAAACATCAAACAGAAGTGTCAATTACATTTTATTCAGAGTTGTCTATGTGTCACTTTACTTCACTGCCACCATTTCTTCTCTACATCTATTGGAACAGCAGAATCCTCTTCTGTTATAGTCCCACAATCATCCCTTTTAGCCAATCCTCTCCACTCCTCCTATCAGGAACCCAATAGTCAAATATCCTTCCCCATCCACATTTCTGGCCCTGCTCTCAAATGATGCTGCTGGCAGCTAATCCAAACCCCAAGAGCTATTTCGCTGGGAGTGGTCAAGAGTCTCCCAAGCTTTCTCTGTGTTGTAAATCTGCCAGAGGCAGCATTAGCTACAGACACTGTTGTCTGGCCCATCCAAGCTGCAAACAAAACAGGGTGCTGCTGACTCACGCTCCTGGATTGCCTGTGATTTCCTCAAGCACAAAGGAGATTGCGTCCTTAGCCATCATTCCACATTGGCCACCCACTATACACAACTAAGCCAAGAGCGCCAGACCTCCTGCATCATGACCTAGGAGGGCTGAAGCATGTTAGGAGCCACAGGGATTTGCTTTGTCACTCTTGTTACACAAGTCAGATGTTAAGGACTGAATGGGAGAAACAATTTCAGTGAGTAACCCAAACCTACCCTCAAATATTGAACCCAAGCTTAAGTATCTCAGGATCAGAGTTAGGCACACTAATTTGGGAGTGAAGCTCACTGAACACACTTTCCAAAGAAATGACTATGTTTACCTGTAGTGGAAAATAACATAAAGCCCCATGGATCCTAAAGATTAACCACTATATTGCAGCATGAGTTCTTGTACATCCCAAATAAGAGGGTGGAAAGTTGATACCTATGTCCCAAACACAAGAAAGCGGGGCTTCCCAACAACTCATAAATGTGGACATACTGAACTCCAACAAGAGTGTCTCATCAAAATCCACTATTCCTGAATTGGATGTTTGTATGTTTGAATGCATAAATATACCTGTACATATAGATCTGTACATGAGACGAAAAGTCACAAGGTAGCCAACGGACCTGACAGCCAAAAACAACATCTAGTACACTACACCAATGTGCTATATATATATATATAGTGGGCAAATGTCATCACTATATGCTTATAAATGGTGATTATGCTGCTTTCTCTGTCACACAGTCTCTAAGCCATCTGTTTTGTAATCTTAAGTATCATGCATTAGACTCAGAAACAGCACAAAGACCAGTGATAAAAATGGTAGGATTACTAAAATTACACAACTCGGGAAGTAACTGGTTTGCCAATATTTGCTGCTAACTGGACCAATGATATTTCCTGTATCTTATAAATTGCACTCTGCTATCTCTTTCTCTTTGTTCTCCTTTTCTATCCCTTCTTTTTCAATCCCACTGCTGTTTCCCCATCTTTCACCACCAAACACAGAATTCATTCATCTGAGGTGGAGCATGTCAATGTAATGTTTCCCTATACTCATAACCTACACCAGAAGACACAGCAGCTGAACAAACCTGCCTGTTTTATTCCACACAATGACATGGCCCAAAAAGTTATTTTAAAAACCCACTGATGTTTCAAAGAGTAAACTTGAGCACCAGCCCACACCGATTGCTAAGGATGTCAGCAGCAACCTTGATCCCTTTCATCCCAAAGCTCACTATTATTTTTGGCAGACTGGTACCTCTCCTAGCAGGAGAAGGCACAGTCCTGTGTTTCCATTCCCTCCACCAACAAAGAACTGTTAACGAAAAAAAGCCCCTTTAACAGGATTCATCACTCCTTAGCCACTGCTTCCGTTAGCACCACATGCATAGCTGGGATATACAACCCAATGTTTACACCAACAGTAAGCAACTGTGTGGAGACAAGGGCCACATTTCCGGTTAGCCATATGCTCAAGAGATTCCTTCCCTGTTTTCCGTTTTCCGTTTTTAAATATTATTTACTCACAGAAGATTAAATAATTTAAAACTAATTTGCATGAAATACATTCATTAACATTCATTATTAATTAACTATTGAATTGTAAACTCTTAAATTTTAATTTACATTTTATTGCTCTCCGTTATGTTAACATGTTTTAATCTCTTTGTCTTTTAATATCTGCATTTTAATAGTCTTATGTTTACTCTATGTGTTTTAACTGTGTTGTACCCAACCTCGAGACATCAGGGGAGGTGGTTAACAAATAAAATTATTACTGTCTTGTTGCTGTTGTTAATATTATTGAACTGTAGGTAGTGGGCAGGCAAAAATAACCCCCTCAGTGCTGGCAGCAAATTAAGCAGCTAGTAGTGACCTGGAAACAACTAGAGACCCATGATTGCTGCAGACTGAGGGCCCAACTAAAAGGTATGAAAACCTGGTAGAAAGTGGGATAAAAGGAGGCTGGCTAGAAAATGTTTGTGTATATTTTTAGTTATTTTATGTTCCGGCATGGAATGCTTGCCATGTATATGTTGTGCTCTGCCCTGAGTCCCCTTTGGAGTGAGAAGGGCAGCATATAAATGTTTCAAATCTATACATATAATAAAAGTCAAAGTTTGTATGCGGAGGACAAAAGTGTGGCAGGAGGAGTATGTGCCAGCATTCTGATTGGCTGCCGCTGTGGTGCTATTTGCATATAGTCTCTGATTGGCCAGCTTCAATAGGAGCCCCTGGTGGAGAAGAGGGTTCATGACAGAAACGGGGACATGAGAAGGAAATTTGCATATGGTCTCTGATTGGCCAGCTTCAATTCCAAGATTCCGACATGACAAAGAGGGGAAAGGAAAAGGCCAGAGGGGGCTGGGTCAGAAAATTACCAATACAGACCAAACTTGGCACACAGAGCCCCCATGACCCACTCTACATCCTACTGCAGTTTGGAGGAGGATGAACCATGGATGATGGGACTTGCAGTACCATCACTCACATCCTGAGACCGCTGTTAACCACATCCAATGACTGATCAGGACCAAACTTGGCACATAGACCTCTCATGACCCACTTTGCATCCTGGTGTGGTTTGGCCAGGGATGGACCATGGATTATGGGACTTGCAGTACCTTTGCTCAATTCTTGAGACCACTGCAACCCTCATCCAATTACCGATAAAGACCAAACTTGGCACACTGAGTCTCCATGACACACTCTACATCCTGGTGCAGTTTGGAGGAGGATGCACGGAGGACGATGGGACTTGCAATACCTGCACTCCCTTCCTAAGACCATTACAACTGCCAACAATGATGGATCAGGACCACAATTTACACAGAGAGCCCGCATGACCCACTCTACATCCTGGTGCGGTTTGGAAGAATTTGACAATGGATGATGGGACTTGCAGTCACTTCACTCACTTCCTGAGACCACTGAGACCCTCGCCAATGACTGATCAAGACCAAACTTGGCACACAGAGTCCCCATGACCCACTCTACATCCTGGTGCACTTTCGAGGAGGACAGACCATGGATGATGGACTTCAAGTACCTCCACTCCCTTCCCAAGACTGCTGCAACCCTCATCTAATGTCCGATCAAAACCAAACTTGGCACACAGAGCCCCCATGACCCACTCTACATCCTACTGTGGTTTGAGTAGGGCATACCATGGATGATGGGACTTGAAGTACCTCTACTCGCTTTCCGAGACTGCTGCGACCCTCAACAATGACTGAACAACACCAAACTTGGCACATAGACCTCTCATGACCCACTTTACGCCCTGGTGTGGTTTGACTGTGGACCGAGCATGGATTATGGGACTTGCAGTACCTTTGCTCAATTCCTGAGACCACTGAAACCATCATCCAATTTCCGATAAGAACCAAACTTGGCACACCGGGTCTCCATGATGCACTCTACATCCTGGTGCGGTTTGGAGGATGATGCACCATGGACGATGAGACCCTCATCCAATGACTGATGAAGACCAAACTTGACACACAGAGCCCCCATGGCCAACTCAACATTCTGGT